TGACTAAATCAGCTGAGCAGTGAAGCATCGCTGTACCAGACTAGTTGGGCAGTGAAGCATCCTTGACTGTATCAGGCACTCCTGTACAATACAGGTGGAAACAGCATGGACCATAACAGGAACATCAGCTGGCCCACTGGGGTGGGGAACAAGGGATAATCTGTCATCCCTGACAGCCTCGGGGCATTCCCTATCTGAATCTTAGCCCAAGTGGAACAGTAACATTGTTTCCAGTAGTTCCCACCTGGGGATACTGTCAGGATAGAAACTTACTGGTGACTGAAGCTAGTCATCTTGCGACCTTGTTAACAGCAGTCCCAAATAAGACCCCTTGAGCTCTCCTGGACTGCAGCCCGCAGGACCAGCACCTCCCCCTGAGTGGGATGCCTCCCAGAACATGTGAACCCTCAGGTCTGTGACACTCAAAAGACCACCTCTGACAGTGAGGTGCAGGCTGACACCCCTGCCACACACACATAACTCCTCAAAGTGCATCCCACGTCCGTTGAGAAACACTAAAGGGTTTGACATGAGCGCTCACTGAACTCAAGGGGAATTTTTGGCAGGTGCCTTTGCACACATCTTTGTATATATCTCTTTGTCTATGAATTGCTTGTGGTAAGAACGCTGTTATGGTGAATCTATAATTAATTCATTGTAATAATTGTAGCAAATCCTATTAATTCACTTTTTTAATGTTAAATTAGTCAATGATTTGCACCCTTATATCTTTGTATCCATATTCTTTGCACCCTTATCCTCTTGCATCCCTGGTCCTCATGTAAAGCATTCAAAACTGATTCTAATTTAATTTTCTTAGGTATGCTTCCTCTATGTAGTATGTAATAGAGTGAACCTCGCCACTGAACTCTGTAAAAGTCGCATTCATAAATTCATATTAAAGCTTGCTTTTTGCCAATACCTTAGATGGTTATTCTTTAGCAGTCTAACTATTCATTTGTGACACATGCCCAGTATATAAACTGGGGGAAATTGGCCAGGAGCCATCAATCTCTGTATGGGGATGGGCTGGGCATCAGCCAGGGTGTGGTCAACAACTGTATCATGCATCACTTGTTTCTCCTAAGTTTTATTCCTCGATTTATCTCTTTTTTTTGGTTGTTGTTTTTATATTTATTATATTTTACTTTATTTCAATTATTAAGGTGTTTTAATCTCAAAAAAAGATTTTACCTTTTTTCCCCTGATTCTCCTCCCCATCCCACTGGGGCAAAGGAGTGAGTAAGTGGCTACATGGTACTTAGTTGCTGACTGGGATTAAACCACAAGAAATATACATATATACATATATGTAAATATATAGTATAAAACGAAGAAATTTGCCTGAAGGAGGACTGTAGAGGAAGACCAGCTATTCAAAAATAAACCAAAAAAACCTCCTGTATCTTTTGAAATTAACAGGAGAAACATATACACAACTCTTAAGTTTCTAAATATTTCAAAAATACTTGCTTATTTCTGCTAAAAGGTCTCATTTAAGAAGCTTTTGATGACATGCAGAAGAGATTTTGGCATATGACAGTGGCTCAGTGGTGCAGTCAAGCATTTTATATCTGCCCTGGAATGATCCTCTCTGGAATGAGTGTACAGCACCATGGCACAAAACCCTGCAAAAATTGCTGTTCAAGGGTTTTCCTGGTAAGGGGAGGAGGGGGTGGTTAGAAAGAAATAAAAATGAAAATAAATAAATAAATAAATAAATAAATAAATAAAAGGAGTCAGAGAAAGAAAAGAAAGACATGGAGAAAAAAAGAAAAAGGCAGAAGAGCAGGGAACTGCTTGTTTTATTGTTCATCTGTCATGAAAAAAAATGCCATATGCGTCCTGTTGTTAGGATGCAGGGTCTCTCACCAAGGAGTCATCTATGCTATGGTCTTGCCAGCATAGCCACAACATAAAAAATACATTTTTCAATTTTGCTTCTGGGAAAAGTGACCTGGCAGCAGCATCCTTCATCCTTCATTTTATGCACAGGCCATTCTTTTAACCCTTTGTCTGATGCCTCTTCCAGTGCTTTCATAGTCATGTTTCAATTCATATTTCATTCATGCCAAATGTAATATTTCTTACAAACCTTTATTGACAGAGATAAGAACGTGGTCAGACAATCAGCAAAGAGTGACTCCAGAAATATTTTGCAGGTTGACATAAATGCAAAGTGGCCAGTGGGTAACGTGTACACACACACTCACACACACACACACTCACACACAAATGTAATTCACAGCCTCTCCAAGTGTAGCCCACAACTCATGGCTACCTCAGCTCATGCCAGAAATGAAGGTGGATAATCTTAATAATACATACACCCAAGCAAAATACTTTGCACAGAATAAAACTCTCACACAGAGATCTGCCTTGGGCTAGAAAGGAGTATTTGCAGCTCCGAAAGCAACAACAAACTACCGTAGTCAGTACAAAGAGAGCACCAGAGTGGAAGCAGACTGAGGCAGGCTAGAACAAAGGGAAAAGGAAGTATCTATTCCTCTTGAATGCAGAAAGGAAGATATTATAATCAAGCACACAAGCATCTGGCAGATGCAAAACAAAACCTAGCAAACAGCCTCTCCCAGAGGAATACGAGACAGAAACAGGTAACTAAATCAACATAGAAGGACAAAGCAATAAACAACAGTCATTTGGGGGGAGGTTTTAAACACTAAACCTACACATCTGTTAATTAGAACCATGTATTGGGTTTGCATGGCAAGGTTTTGGTAGCAGGAAGGCTACAGGGGTGGCTTCTGTGAGAAGTTTCTAAAAGCTACCCCTGCATCACAAAAGAGTCAATGCCAGCCAGCTCCAAGATGGACCCAGCTGACTAAGGCTGAGTCCAAGAGCAATGGTGGTAACACCTTGTGGATCATATATTTAGGAAGGGAAGGAAAAAAACCCTGTGCAACATCAACTGCAGCTGGAGAGAGGAGTGAGAATTTATGAGAGGAACAGACCTGCAGACACCAAGATCAGTAAAGGAGAGGGCAGAGGTGCCCCAAGCATCAGAGCAGAGATTCCTTTGATGAAGATCATGGTGAGAAGGCTATCCCCCTGCAGCCCATGGAGGTCCATGGGGGAGAAGAGATCCACCTGCATCCCATGACGAAGCCCCATACCAGGGCAAGTGAATGCCCAAAAGAAGGCTGTGACCCCACAGGGAGCCCACGCTGGAGCAGGTTTGCTGGCAGGTCTTGTGAGCCTGCAGGGGACCCATGCTGGAGCAGCCTGTTCCTGAGGGACTGCACCCTGTGGAAGGGACCCAAGCTGGAGCAGTTCATGAAGAACTGTAGCCTGTGGGAAGGACTCATATTGATGAAGTTTGTGGATGACCTCCTCCTGTGGAGTAGGGGAAGAGTGTGAGGAGTACTCCCCCTGAGGAGGAATGTACAACAGAGACAACTAGTGAGGAACTGATAACAACCCCCACTCCCCCTCCCCCTGGACTGCTGGTGGGGAGAAGGTAGAGAAAATCAGGAGTAAAGTTAAGGCCAGTAAGAAGGGAGAGGTGGAGCAAAGGTGTTATAAGATTTAGTTTCTATTTCTTACTATCCTCCTCTGATTTGATTGGTAACAAATTAATTTTCCCCAAGTTGAGTCTGTTTTGTCTGACGGTAACTGCAGAGTGATCTTCCCTGTCCTTCCTTATCTTGACCCAGAAGCCTTCCAACATATTTTCTCTCCCTTGTCCGGTTTAGGAGGAGAGTGATAGAGTGAATTTGGTAGGAGCCTGGCATTCAGCCAGAGTCAACCCACCACAGTCTGAAAAGGCAGGCTCGCAGGGGTTTTTTAGTTTTTTTCAAGAGCCAGAACAACAGAGTCACCTAATATTTTTATTGTTTCGGTGATTTTCCCTGGATTATCTCAGTATTGTTTCTGTATACACAAACCTAGTGACACTTTTTTCAAAACCATATTTAGCATTTCCTAATTTGACAATTTCACCCAAAAGCCCTAAGTTTTTTATTTATTTAAAAAAAAACCAAAACAACCAATAAACCAAACACACACACAAAACCATCAAAAAAATCTCCCAAGAAAATCCATAAAACAAAACATGAAAACACAATCACAAAAATAAGACTGGGAATAATTATGCATTTTTAGGCAACACTTTTCATGCTGCATCAGTACAGATGAATTTGGATCAAAGAAAAGATAGAATAGAAAACAAAGGGCTAAAGAGGAACTTAAAGAAAAGTTAACTGGCATGCGACTTCTTCCTTTTATGCTTAAACACGGACTTGCTTGGCTCCTCTTCTGAAAAGCAGTAGCACACACTGATAATTACTTTGTCATTTTAATTATCTCTGGCAAAACCCCACATTCATTAGGTAACCTTCAGCAATAAACTTGATAAAGCATTTTTTCAGCAAGCTATCAACATAAAAGCCATGAAGAATTGTAACAGGCAACTCATCTGATTTTGCATAGTGCATTTTCTTTCCTCCTATGCATTTGATTAATGTGCTGCTTCTGCTTGATTTCTCTCTCTGCAGAACAGTTGCTCCTGGATTCCCTAGCATCTAGTTTACTTAATATCATTGGAATATTTCCTACAGCTCTCCAGGAATGCCATAACTGTAGGAAGAATATTAACTTGTCACCACTAGTCATAATATTTTCTGCAGGAGGCATCACTATCTTGGCTCAAGTACAAGAGAACCTCAGATTTAACAAAATTCTCACTTCTAGGTTGAGAGAAAAGCAGGACCATAGTGTGTTAGAAAATACTTATTTCTTTAACTGTGGAACAGTGTAACTCCCCATCGCCTACCCCTTGATTCCCCACCTGGATACAGTCCACCTCTGGAGAAGCCTCTCTACTTGCAGGATTTCCATCTCCTCAGTTCCATGATTTACCATCCTCCATTTTCAATCAGAAGTGAAAGTCCTACCTTAACAGCCTGACCTATTGCCCCATGGTTCAGCTTCTCTTCAGGGATGTTAACTCATTTGCTCCAGCTAATGAAATTCAATCTCCCAGACAGCTGTGGGGTAAGAGCTATTGTGTAAAAAGAGGCAATAGCAAAACCCACTTCAGCCTTCTCTGACTGCATAAAGTACAAGGTCCTGCTAAGTGCTTTGAGGGGGAAAAACCTTAGTTAACAAATTAGGTCAAGGACTGTGAAAAAGCATGTCCAAGCCTCCTCAGATACATCTTGAACACAATGCTTTCCTCTATTTTTACTGTTTCTGTTGTTTAAACCAGGTCTAGAATGAGGATTCAATGGGGAGCTGAAGGAAACCACAACTTAGAAAACCCTGATGCTTCCTATCAGATGGCAGAAGAGAGCTGAGTTGCTGTTCAGCCACCCAACACCACCACATCCCCTGCATCATTAACAGAGCCACATCCAGCCTGGCTAATTGTGGGCAGGCTAGGGCACCTGCCTTAATCCCTCTTGGATGATCTGAGAAATTTTCTTGGCTGCTTTGTTGCTCTAAGGCCTCAATAATATGCACAGGGTTCTGGGTCCCTATCTGGGGACCAAATACTGGAAAATTAGGTTCCGTATTTACTATTTTTAGGTACATAAATTCTTTATTGGACCTAAATCTCAGAGCTATACTGAATGAAGGCATCAATTATTAAGGCTCACTTCAGTAATTAGTCTTTCATGTTAGCTGAAAAGCTTAGCACTCCCTCATTTGATCAGAGGTCTCTCTCTCTGTCATTTCAGATATATTTATGTCAAGCTTGATCTTTTAAACTTGAGGACTTGTGAATTAGAAGAAAAATATTCTGTAATATAAAAAAAGTAAAAGCGAGAGTTTATTCTAATGCATGCTAATTAACTGCATTTTATTCCACAAAAAACCCCCCACAAAACCAGGAGGTGATAGGCGTTTTTACATACTGTGAGATTTCAGATGCACAGAGGTCACTCAAAAATGGAGCAAGACTTAACAAATCAGCCCCACCACAGGATATTCCAGCCTCATCTCTTATGCACTTGTCATCTCCATATGATTTGCAAAGCAAAATTTAGACATACTGTTCCTTTTCCTTCATGAATTTTAGATACATGAAGATTGCCTTAGAAACTGTTCTTTCAGGGTGGGTGTTTTATTTTTTTTCTTTTAAACAAGTGATACTATGACCTTTTTTCCCCTCTACTTGCTTGAAAGCTTTGACAAGATCTTCAGACAATCTTAGGAATGCCATTGCCCAAGAATGAAGATGAAGCTGAGTTCCTCCTCTTCATCCACCTCTTTTTCCTAGCTTGATTCATCAAAAAAAAAAGAAAAAATCCAATTGAAACCTCACCTGTCAGCCTATCTATCCTCCTACATATGGAATAAACCAAGAGTGACAAAGATGGGACAGGCACTCCTTTAGGTAGAGGGTTTGGCTGCTCTGCAAAATGAAGAACCTCAAAAGGACTATTGAGGCACCTCTTGCCTCATCTCCGTGCTACTCAGGGCACACCTTGTCACTTGTTCAGAAATTTCCCTATTGAACTGGCAAGTTACTGAACACCACAACAATCTCCCAAAATCTCAGGTGATTTGAAGTGCCACAGTGATGTGACTATTCTGCTTTCAGTTTGAATCCATGTATGCCACTCCAGTACATTGGTGTGCATCTTTCCAGTGAAGAGGCAGCAGAAGAGATTTGAGGGGAACAGAAATTGCCACAGCTTAGGGCAGCTGTAACAGCTCTAGTTCCATGCACCTCAACACCATAGGGATCAGCTCTAGGATATCCACAGCAGGTTTTTACCCTTCTGCCACTCAGCTACATGGACAGTGAGCTGAGGTGGCTGCAGACCCTTACAGACCCGAAAGTGATTTGATTTTGTACATTTGAGTGCCAAGCTATATGAACATTCAGGCATATTAGGAATGTCATTACACCTAATTGCACTTATATTAAGCTCCCACTCACTGCATAAATTGTGGTTTTGCAAATACGAAGACCTGGGGTTGATTTAGAGAAAACCTTTCCCTGCAATGTCCCTGCTCTCCCACTTTATTTCTAAAGACAATGGTACTGTGTGGGTTATTGGAGCAGAAGCAGTTGTGATATTTATAATGCAAGGTTCAATCGCACATGCAAATGAGAAGAAATTGCAAGGAAGGATTTTGGTTTTGTTTCCCCTATTCAGAAACTACACAATAGTATATTTTCATGAACAGGATCAAAAAAAAATGGAAAAACACTTCAACAATACATTTCATCCAAATTTTAGAACCCTAGAGAGGCACACAGCATTTAAATTATCTTCACAAACATTGTATTGCTATTTTCTTGCCCAATCCTTCAGTTCCTTTGGGTAGAAACTACCCTGTTTTATCTTGCTCCAGGAGGAGACTGGGGGACAGAGTTAGTCAAAGAGGCAGAGATGAGAACATGGCCTCATATTCTGCCCAGACGGAAGGACATCCTTTTAAATAACTCTGCTTCCTATGAGGAGGCTATTATGTTGCCTCTAGTGACAGTTTATTTGAAATAAACAGGACTCTGCCTCCTGGGTTTTTGCTTGTTGGAAGCAGCACTCAAAGCAAGGCTCTCCTTTTATATTTTCTCTTGTATACTTTTTCTTTCATGTACCTGCCAATGGACTCAGATTTTTCACTTCTGAAGCACTCCACCAATCTGGCTACCTCATTTATCAAAGCAGCTTCATGTCTAGGGTTTTACTGAAATTTGGCAGTATAATTTTAATAATTCTGTCACCTCCCATGAAAGGGAATTCAGAAGTAACCATTTTTACAGACTATCCCTCTTCATACACTTTCCAGGAGTCTTACTCTAGTGTTGCCTGTTTTGAAGAAAAATTAGGGTATTTAATGACTACTCCTTTACAGCCTAACACTATGAAGTTGCAGTGAGCCAGCACTTCTGTTCTGGGGAGAAGTCCAGACCCCAAGTACTGTTTTTAATTTTAATGCCTTCATTATGATGACTTGACAGATGTTTAGAGTGCTCTCAAATAAACCTTACAAACAAAATTAACATGTTATCTGTGGTTCCCCTGCTTTTCACTATGGTTATCCTATTCATTTATTACATAGCCACAAATCATTCCCAGTCAACTGCACTGGTTAAGAATTAGTGTCATTCTAATTCTACAGACATACAGGTATTTTTAACATCCTCATTCAAAAAGATTTCGTCTTTATGCAACAATTTTCCTTTCTTTGGAGTCACCCTGTACTTCACCAGATATCTGAGGCAATAAACAAACCAAGGGATCAAGGGAGTATGAGAAGTTCCTGGAAGTCTACACTATGGGGGTATTCAAGATGACTCATTTTCCTTGCCACAGGAAAGAAATCAAACATTTTGGTATCCAACCCAGTGAAAAGATATAGCTGTATGATCACACCATGAATCTACATTTCCAAAGTACCAACCAGTTAGGAACAAAGAACCTCACCATGCATGCCAGAGAGTAAAGCAGAGAGCAAAATGATGGTCGTGGTCCCCAAAGGTTACAATCCCAGAACAAGAGAAAGCACGAGGATACAGACAGACATGGAGATCTCAGCAAACCAGAAACAAAATAAGTGACCACATCAAATTTGCTCTGAGCATGACAGCAGCCAAACATCACTCTTTTTATCACAGTAAAAGAGAATTTGTTAGACATTGAAGAGAAGTAGACAAAATACCTGCAGAGAGCTTCTCTCAAGCACAAAGGGAAGCACGTGCTGGAACTAATCTGCAGCAAGAAAAAGAAAATAAAATGCAAATCTAGAATGCTTTCCACATCAGGTTTTTTGTTTGGTTTTGTTTTTAGAGAGACATCCCAATGCATTTATTACCTATGCTAAACCCTTGCTGCTCCCTGAATCAGCCACAAACTGGAATAGAGTACACAAACTTAACTCTCAAACTCCTCTATAACTGCTAGACAACACAACAAATGTAAAATAAAATTGGAAACAGACAGGGAAAGATGGAAAAAGTCACATTATAGTGGTGGGATATTGCTGGAAAATACTGAGGAAAGAAGGAATTCTGATGAACTGCTGGACTGCCTTTCTTTTGGTTTTGGGGGTTTTTTTTGGTAAGGAATTTTCAGGGCAATGATTTTTAATTCTGGTTTTTATCATTTTCTGTCAGATGCTAGAAGAATAAAAAGTTGCTTACACATAGGCTCAAACACAGACTGACCATCAAAAGCTTCCGAGATAATAACTGTCCCCCCAAAACTGCCATTACTTCTTTGAATTCACTTTCATTTTCTTTATTTCAGGGTAAGATTTAGTGGAGGTTTGTAGACAGTTTCAACACAAGCTTGCAGTGATGAGATAACACTTCAATTGTCAAGGTATGTCTCTCACACAGCTCTCAAATAGCACAGCTGGAGAAAAGGACAGTTGAGAACTTGATGTACTCCACAGCTGTCCCTATTGTTCAGGTTAACATTCCCTGTCTTTCTCTTCTTCCAACTTGCTTCAAAGATATTTTTTGTTGCAAGGTACCAAACTGACAGGCAGACATGCTGGAAGAGACAGGAAAACAGCTTCATTCTGGTTGCATGCAATTCCAACAGCTGTCTTAGGCACTGCAAGACATGGTAACCCATGGTGATCTGCACATGGTCATGTTGTCCTCTTCATGAATCATGTCGTGCCACAACTTCCACAGCAACATATTTTTTTTCAAAATTTCTGGCATAGCAATTGGGAAAACACTAATCAGATGCTTTTTCCATCTTAACCATTTCTCATGTATATTTTTCACCAATAATCCTTTTTCACCTACACTGGAGATTTTTTTTAAACTCCTAGTAGGACCAGAATGTGCAAACCAGAGGTGTACAGCACAAAAATTTGCTTCAATGAGTTACATTTATTATGCAAGATGCCACATTAAAATGTGTTATGTCTTTTAACTCTAACCTACAGACATAAAGAGAAACAATAACAAAATGAATGAAAGGAAGACTAGCTGTATATTTCTGCATTCTGTTTTTTTCTGTACAGAGTAACCGGTTTAGGATCTGTAATAAAAATGAAGGTGTGCTTTGTAGTTAAGGACT